ACAAAATTGCAAGTTCAGTCCAAAATTTGAAATTAAGCTGCAAATTTGTTACTTTTGGTTTGCTAAAACCTATGGATGAGGTCGAAAAAGTTTTCAACCTCCAACAGTGGTCCAAAAAACGAAACTGTTTTTTGGTTTTGGTACTTGGAAAACTTGAAAGGAATGTTTGTCATTCGGATGTATTGATTTTTGAAGAATGGTAGGAGAAGGAAGGGGAGATTGTGGGCTAGTTGCAGGTGATGGTGGTTTATCCTATCCTGGGTGAGAGTGATGACGACGAACAAAAACACAAACACAAACACAAACAAATGCTTCATCTTCTCACATGGTTGCAGGCCATGAACATAAACACACACAAATGGACTTTTGTGTTTTGTTAGGGTTGACGATAAACACAAACATACACAAATAGAATTTTGTTCACACATGGTTTTTGTTTTTGGGATTATAGGTGTTCATCGATTTTCTTTTTGAGTTCATGGGTGTCCATTGATTTCATTTCAGAAGTGAGTAATGAGGTAAGAGAGGGTTTAATGTTTGGTACGAGATGTGTCCGTTCATCATTGTGTGTGTTGAATCTGAAAGTCATTGATCTGCAGACGTTTGTTCATCATTGTGTGCGAGTTAAATTTGAAATCCAGTTGATGAAGATGATGTGTACTCTAGAGAGAGGGGGACATTACATTTTATTTTCTAAATATAAAAATATTGAAATGAATATTAAAATAGTGTAGAAAAATTAAAAAGGCATTACAGTCTTTGGAGTTTTTTTTAGGTACCAAAACCACAAAATGTTATAACTTTTGGACCATAAGTGCAAGTTGAAAATCATCCATAAAATTTTAGCTCCTTTACGTTTGTCCTAATGTCATCCTTAAGTTAATATTTCATTGCAAATATAGTCATGTGATTTACTCAAATGCAAGTTCCGTCCATATTTGAAGTTATATAAGACGGAAGCATAATAAAATGCAAAACTAGGGAAAACATTTGAACGATCTACAAATTTAGACAGAACTTGTGGTTTTTGGTAAAGCTTTAAGAACCAAATTTGTAATTTACTATAAGTTTAAACACAAACACCAAAAAAAAAAAAAAAAACGTCTCATTTGTGAGACTGTTGGTAAATGTGCTGTGACAATATATAAAGTACCCACCAAAGACAACATTGTCGATTCCCTTATTAAACCCCTCAATCGGGTTATTCAAGGAGTAGCATGCACTGATGAGACTTCTAGAAGAGCAGGAAGATTATTCTAAAACTGCACATAGCTATTCCTTGTCGTGAGAATTACAAATGAGTTAAGGCCATTGTCGCACAGCTGGTGGTAAGATTAGAAAGATCTTAAGAACACTACATCAGTAACTGAAATCATGAACCACAAACCAAATTCTTTTCTGCAGTATGTGGTAAACTGAACAGAAAATCACAAGATTTACATCAGCCCAAGATGCATGAAATATTATTATCTTCATGGCTGCAAACCAGCTCTACATAAAGAAGAAAGAGCATAATTTGCATTTGGCATGGTAATGGTTATGGTTATGGTAGCAAGAAACCAAGCAGGATTGCAACAGAAATATTATAATTCACGAATTTACAATATTTGACAAGACTCAAAACTAACTAGCTACACCTACGCCTATGCCTACCCACAGTTTTGATAATTTCATATGCATACGCTTATACTGCAAACTAACTCAATTCATATTTGTGTTGCGTGAAATAAAATGTCATTGTCATCCACTCTACATAGACCCATTAGCCATACATGATTCTCCACATGTGAATCTTGTATAAGTATAATCAGCATGTATGACAAATATTAAAGCTGATTTTTTAAATTTACAGGAATCCATCAAGATAGAGGCATAAACATGTATGTCACTTGAAAATTTCTGGTTACAATTTGCGGCATGATCTCATTTACCCTTGAATCAAGAAAATCATAAACACTTACAGGATTGGAATTCATGAAGATACTTGCAGCATGGAATGATTCATCCATCAACTTGCAAAAATTTTACAACTCAAAAGGTGAAAGTTATCCCCTACCCCTCTAGAATGATTTGAAGTAACCTGGCTCTATGAGAGTAGAGTCAAAACATCATTAAATTTGTGGATGTCCCAACCACAAAGGGTTCCATTAATAACCGGGTCAAGAAGTAGAACATGATGCCCAGTGCTATAGAAATCGGGAGAGCTGGCAAAGCCTGACGAAAAACTGATAACAGTATAAGAGTGCACCCCAATCCAGATATAATAGCAAGGTAACAAGCATACACTGTCATCAAATCATACATTGCAGCTCTACCCACAAGAACACTATAAAAAACAAAGTCACCTAGCCCAAGTTTTATGCCTCTACTAGTCTCCTCCTCATCAATAATCTCCCTGCCTCTTCTAGATTCATCCCCCCCCATGCCCAGAATCGCACCAAGTGGCGACAAATCCACTTCTTCGTCTTCAATGATATCAGTTCCAGTTTGATGGATGCGATCAATAGAAGAAAACTCACTACTGCCACTTGAACTAGACCTCATCCTATCTCTTAGGCTTGGAACCAATGGGGAAGTCTCCTCCATCGTCTCATCGGAATCACCACCGTTCCTGGAATCACTAGGATTATGCCGGGTCATCTCAACCTCCACTGACTCAGAAGAGACCCCGCCAACCAAAAGCCCAAAACCAGACCCTCTAGGGTTCCGAGAAACTGTTGGTCGAGCCTCGTAAACCAGAGCAGGAAGTTCATCATCTCTGCTAGATGCCAATTCAACCAAGATCTTAAGAGGTCCACCAGGGGCCAAAACCGCAACTAAATCGTAGAGAGCCAATGCTACAAGCAGAGTCCAAGTGGTCCATTCTGGCAGATTAGTAAACCACGCAGCCACAATTATACCCAGAAGGACCATATAAACCTGCCTCAACAATATCGGTATCGGTATACCCTCAGCGAAAATCGAGAGAACTCCCACGACTGTGAAATTGAAAAGCAAAATGAGACACGTGATGGCATCAATCGGAATCGAGAACTGTCGAATAATGGAGATGAAGATGGAACCGCCCATGACACCAAGCACAAAGAAGGCCGAGAAACGCATGTAGTTCTTGAGGAAATTGGTAAAGTTGTAGTAATAAAGGAGAACAAGAAGGAAAGTTACAGCGGCGATGAGGATGACAAAGACAAGAGCATTGAGTAGTGAGCCTTCGATCTTCTCGGATGTAGAATCCGTCGGCGTTTCGAGGTAGACGAGATTAGCAGCGGTACGGATGGGCTCGCCAGACGAAGAGGAGAAGGATGTGAGAGAGTAGACTATAAGGACAACTAGGAGCATGCAAATTGAGACCGGAGACATTACGCCGATGATTTCCACTCCGATTGATTCCAGGATACTCCCATCCATGGCTTTAGATTTCCGATTTGGCTTTCGAAGGGCAATTTCTAGGTAAAACTGTCGTCAAATTCTAGGGTTCTTATGGATTTCCGGTGAAGTTACAGTAATTGGGAATTTTACAAAACGGTATTTGAACCGTTCTCGAACATACTTCTTTACGGAGTCTGACCTGCCACTCTGGGATTTCTTAAATATATTTTAGTTTTTTGACTTTTAACTAAAAATGTATATTTAAAGAAGTTATATTGCAAAGTGCAAACATCTTTTGAGTATGTTTCTTAATATAATAAAGTTTTTAGAAAATCCCATTGAACTAATCAGCAAACTTTTTGGATTATAAAAAGAAAGTACAAATGAAATAATTAATTGCATAAAATTGACGAAAGAAGATAAAAGAAAAGAAATTTTGAATCTGTTTTGCTTTTTTCACATATTTTGCCCACCTAAAAATTACTATTATTATCTCAAAAATTATAGGGTAATTAACTATTATTTTTTATATATTTATATATTTATATTTATATTTTTTTGCATACAATTAAAATCATGTTTGTTGTTTATAAAAAATATCATTTTGACTGATTATTACATGTCTAGCGGTTTACAGGTTTAAAAAACACATTTAAAATTGTATTTGTTATTCAATAAACACAAGTAAACCTATATTTTTGTACATTAAACTAATATCTGTACACATTGGGTCACTTTCATATTTTCCGGCTATTATCATTTTTTTTGTCTGTGTTTTAGTTTGTTGCTAAGCGTGTGATCTTTTTCTTGCTACTTTATGAAAATTATCCTACCTATACATCTCTCTCTATCCCATTACTTCTTTAAGCACTTGCCATCAGTAACCACATCCGTTAAGAGAATTTAGATTATTTTCGTGGTGGTAGTGATGATTGATGAATGGTGTAGACGGATGATTATAGTGATGATAGAAGACAACGTTTGTTGTTGGAGGCCGATGGTGTTGGTGGGAGGGTAGATTGTGTCCAAAGCAAGTTTAATGGTAAATAATAAACAATATAATAATAATAATAATAATAATCGGTCAAAATGATAGTTTTTGAGCAACTCATATGAGTTTGGTAAACTATATAAAAAAATATTAAATATATACAAAACTTTAAAGTTGTTTTCTCAATAATATATGTCCAATCGAATAATGAATTCCAAAATATGGATCCAAACACCATCTCTTTTACTTGCTCATTGTATTCCAAAAGAAATAGAAATCTATAAAACGAGTTGATGTATAATTTCAAAGAAATAGAAATCTATAGAAGCAAAGTTGTAAAAATCGTTTGACAATAGCTCGACGATCGACTGAGGTTAAGGGATTAATCGCTTTTGGCGGGGATTAATCGAGGCTTAATCGGAAACCATAGATTATTAATAAAATATTAAAATTAATCAAAGATTAATACATCTTAAGAAATACAAATACATCAAAATTAGAAAATAAGAAAATTTGCATTTTGAAAATTTAAAAATATGAACATTTTTGTATAATATTTGAGATTTTGAAAATCTAAAAACTTTGGGTAAAAAAAAAAAGTTGATTTTTTGAATTTTTTAACTTTTTTTTTTGTTTTTTTTTTTACTTTTGTTGACCGATTAATCCGTCCAAGACTGATTAATCCCGCCAAACCCAAAGAATCCCTAATTCCCGTCAAGCACCCCTAATCCTAATCGGTTGGAGAACGCCAAACGATTAATCACAATTTCTGCAACCTTGTATAGAAGTAGACCATCAGGATACGTTTTGCTTATACCAAAGCCGGTTAAAAACTTAAAATCAACTAATCGACTTAACTACACCTACCTAATTGCAAATAACTTTATTAATCAGGCTCTTGTACGCAACTCATATCAAATGTGACTCAGTGATGACTCGTTCAAAATCCTGTGTTTTTTATTACGAATAAACTAGCATTCCTTCCTTTAAGATTATACATGCCACCTACCGACTGCTTTAAAATTGCCAAAACGAAAACATCAAGTTTCAAGTAATTTAGAAACCCCAAATACCATTAAACCCAAACACACCTTATTTTTACAAGGAAACAAGAATAACAATTTTTAACATAACCATGTAAACAAAATCACAAAAGAATCTCCCCTATCCAAACGGATTCCCACCAATTGAAGCCACAGGTCCCTGAGCTTGAATGTTCCTACAAAACGACCCAAAAACATAAAACTAAAATAAAATAAATTATGTTACTACTACTGTAAAATTAAGTAAAACAACACAGACACACTTACGGAATCTGCATGCCCGGTGCTGCACTTTCAGGAAACCAATTATGATTTGGCAGACTAGATTGCAAAGAGCTCATGTCCAAGAACTGCATTTGGAATTTTATTTTATTTTATTAAAAAGAAAAAAAAAACAGATTTTGAGAAGTATGCTAGTATGAATTAGTGAAAAAAAATTTATATACATCAAAAACTAACCATGTTGCTAGCTTCAAGATCATCATCGCTAGGAAAATCAAACGGATTGCGAGATTTTGTATCAATTCCATGTGATTGTGCTGCATCCTGAAACAATCAAATATAAAAAAAAAAAAAATTAATAATGATAATTATAATGTGTTTATAAATAAATTAAAGCATCCTACCAGGACAGGGAGTTCATTTGAAGAGTCTAATGATCCAATGACATGTGGTGTTGTGTTAAGAAAAGAAGCAGGTCTGGCATCCACATCAGCTTGTTTCATCTTCATATTCTGTAAATAAATATATAATATATTAAAAAAATAGTTTGCTTCCTAATAATGATATTTGTAGCTAAATAAAGGGTTACCTCTGATATCCCCCATGCCAAATACGGATCAACAGCTAAAGGATCTTGAAAAGGTGTACTAGACTCTTGAAATGAACTCCATGATGACTGCTAAAGAAAATTAAGAGTGATAATATAATGTCATTTTACTTATACAAATGAATACAATACATGTAATTATGTTTGAGTTGATAACACAAACCTATTGCAAAGACAGCATACCTGATTATTCTGAACCCCAACTCCAAGTGGGATCCCAATATCATCAACACCAAAGTCTTGTTGAAATGACCATTGAGAGTTTTTGTCCATAGAATTAGATGGAGGTTGGTCAAATTTCCCAAAAGACCCTTCACTTGTAGAAGTTTCTGGCACAATGGTGGTTGAATTTTTAGCAGGTTGTGCATGCCAAGGCATGTCAAATGTGGCCCATCCCTCATTTTCTATATCTTTGGCTTTCAGGGTGGTTGTCTGCTGTTGTGGCATAACAGTAAATAAATCCAAAGATGAGGGGTCAAAAGGTTGGAACTGCTGATTTACACTTGAAGTTGGTGGAACAGGATCATGTGGTGGCTGGGAAGTATTATTATTTATGGACAAAGTTGAAGAAGATGTAGCTGAAAAGTCAAATAGGTCAATGACTGAAGGAGCAATCGCAGGAGCAGGTGTGGTTGATTGAGGTGTATATGGATATGGTGCACTAAAAAGGTCTAAACCACCAAACTTTTCAGATTCACCTGGAGGTGCAGATGTGGTGAATTGAGGTGCATTTGGTGCACTAAACAGGTCCAGACCATCAAACTTTCCAAACTCAGCTGAAGCTGTAGATGTGGTGCCTGAAGGACCAGGTTTCTAAAATAAAAATCAGAATCTACAAAATATATATATAGTATAGTGTGTAACAACAGGGATAATGTAGTTCAACCTGATCTGATTCTCCTTTAGCATTTGGACTGGAGAATGTGTTGACTGAAGACTGCTGCTGAACATCTTCAGTTAAATTATCTCTTGACATTTCTCTACTGAGACTACTGAATCCAAGTTCCTTCTGATAGGGAGGTGGCGATTGGGTACCAGATCTAAACGGGTCAGCTCCACTACTTGCTGAATAATCTGAGACTCGAGCATTAGCCACCTCATTAGCAAAACTATCCTCTTGCCCATGATCACTTAAACGACTGGTGCTCAAAAACCTCAACATTCCTCTATCTGATCCAGGTTTTTTAGTAAGTGCAGGAGCCTGTTTCCCATAACGTCGTTCTTCATATTGATAATCATACGGTGGACTTTGAGAGTAAGAATGATATGAACTAGCTCTTCTTGTTTCATCTTCATGGTTTCTAAGGCTCTGATACGTTTATAACCAAATGGTATGGAACAAATCAGTACACACCAAAACAAAACAGGCTCACTTGTTAAGACTTAAGATGTTGTATCTTACCAGTGTATCTCTAGGAGGTTTTCCAGAGGCCTTTGAAGCGAAAAATTTCTTATCCACATACACACTCTTTATAAACTCTCTAACTTTCTCCACGTTGCTGTAACAGAGACCATGCATGACAAGTCTATTTTTTTATCAAAAAAAAAAACACACACACACATGTAAAAATATAAAAGTGTATCACCTGTTATCTGGGAGTCTTTGCTCTCGTGGGTCCCAATCTTTAAGAAATGTTTCCCTTGCACGCTGAAGAAGCAAACATAATGTCAGAAACCAGAATAGCTTCCATGGAGAAAAGGAAATTGGGTAGTATCATGTTTCACGTGTACCTGATTACCACCTTCTTGAAGGGCTTCAACTTCTTGTGAAGTGAATTTGGACATTGATACAGACTTAACTCGGTGAGTGAACTCACGGCTGCAACATGCATTGAGGTAACTTTAATATGATGTTGAAACAGATAACTAGGTTACCCAGCAGCATACATACATTGTTTTATGTATATCTAAGTAACACATACATACATACATTGTTCTATACAGAATTCATGATGTTGAATAACATTGAAAGAAAGAACTTCAACTAAGGACAAAAACTCACTGTATCCCACTACATGTCATGCAAACGAACGTCCAAAAATTTGTGCACACGTATTGAGGTCCCTGGAAATCAAATTTTAAAATTAAAATATGGTCAGGGAACAAGGTGAAGCAATATAAGTTTTATCACCAAAATAAACAAGTTATGCAATTATTATTTCAAGTAACTTGCTATAACCCCAGGCTAGTATGCTTTACATAAATAATGGAGCTATAAGTTATAGTTGATTATTAACAGAAGGAGCATATGACACTTTGTGCTTCGGGCCTCCCATGGAGTTAGAGGAATGCAAAGACTAATCTGTCACTTTAAGAGATAAGTAAGAATCTCATCATCAATATGGCATACTCATTTAGCTATGCGGATGTCCCATTATGAATCATTTCTAGGAAATCAACTATGAAAACACTCAGACTTATGTGAGCTAATATTCACTTAAGTAGATATATTGTCTTCAAGTAGAAAAGGTAGGTCTCCAACTTTTGAAACACCTATAATTCTAATTTGTTTCCATTGCAAAAAATTATTTATATCAATGTTGTTACGTAACTGGGAGTCTCATCGTTACAATGAAACAACTTAACTTCCAGTCATATGAACTAACATAATTAGCTAAGCAACTGATTCGGTCTCTATCAGCAGCATTCATGAATACTCGAACAACGATGAAAAACATGTGTGAAAACTTCCAAAAACTACAAACATAAAACTAGTAGAACTAAAAGAAACTGTAAACTTTAAAAAGGTATATACATAGAAACACACACCAAGCTGTTGCAGTTGATGCATCTTCGATTAGGGGGAAGTTTCATTAAACCCCTTATAATTTTCTCATTTCGCTCCTCCTCCTTCCTGCTGCTCATTTTTGTATTGATTTCCTCAAGAAAAACTGCTCCCTATCCTAAAAATTGTTCAAATTGTGAATCTGAGTAGAAAAAAATAAACACAAATAGAGGATAACTGAATCTAGGGTTTTGGGTTTTCAAAGAGAGGGATTGAATGAATCAGCGGTATCCCTCTTCCCGACCCTTGCTCGATTTCCTAGCTATCCCGTCAGCGCAACGACAAAAATTAGTGCTTGAAATTGTGCTTTTTAGCTTTTAGGCTCAATTATATATGCATTATTTGTAGAGTGTAGTTGTGCACATCCATCCAATATCCATTTAAATTTGGCCCGTTACAGTACATGATGCTCTGCCTATACTCCCTGTCCAGTCAAAACGTGGTAAATTTGCATTTCAACTCCCTTATGATTGATTTAAAGCATTCCAACCCTCCAACTTATGAAATATTGTGTCGCAACTCATATTGACTAAGGTGTTGTTTGTTTTTTTAAGCAAAAATCCATAAAGTCTGCGGACCACCTCTGCAACCCTCTGCAGTAGAAGAGGTGGACCAAACGGCTGCAGACTGCAATAAGAAGCGTGTTTGTTTTTTTAACATCTGCATGCTGCTGCAGATATTAAAAAATTAAAATAAACTGATTTTATAATCCAAAAATAGTTTTTTAATACCGAAAATTTAATAATGAATGACATTTCGGCAAGAATTTATGATATTTCAGCAAAAAATAATGATATTTTAACAAAAAATAAAGATATTTTAGCATAAAATAATGATATTTCATCAACAAATTATTATTATTCAATATAAAAAAAAATCAACAAGACTAAACAAAAAAAAAACGAAAAAAAAATGTGAAATAAGATTTCAGCAATATATAATCAATATTTTAGCAAGAAAAAAAAAAGAAGAAGAGGTTGGAAGAGGTATGAAGAGGCAAAACAAGTGTTGCGCCAAGAAGAACACGCGCATATGTTTTTTAATTCGAAGACTTCTGAAAAACAAATATCTGCGAGATGAAAAGTGTTGTACGTGTGCTGCGCCGCGCAACAATAAGAGGTCTGAAGAGGTTTTTTCCAAAAAACAAACAACACCTAAGAGATTCAACTTATGAAACCAATTATGAATTACCGGAATGAGTAATGCTACACTCTTGATATACGGCTCACATTTTATTACTGTTTTCTTCCTTTTTAAAATGAAAAATCATTCATAATGAAGATCGAAGTAAAATCAATAATCATTTTTAACGGGTCATGTGGTGTTTAAATTATATTAAAGGTTGTTTGATAGTTGTTGATTGAGTCGGATATGATTGTATCAAACAAAGCTCTAGATCCGATCGAGTAAAAGGCATATAAGAGGAGTTAGGACCAAATCAGAGGCTTTTGAACGTAATTTGACCAAATTAGAATCAATCTCTTATGGACTCAATAAAAATCATATCAAATACCTCCTATCGAATAAAAAGATATACAACAAGACTTTCAGTTCAAAAGAATACGGATAGAATCTTATACATTATGTTTTAGGGCCCGTTTGATAGTTGTTATCTAATAAAGTGTTTTATAGTGTGATGGATGAAGTTGTTGAATAATTATAAAAACATATAAATTGTCATACAAAAACAAAATTACACAATAATCATTTAAAAATCAAAATATTTAAAATAAAATAACATTTTGAATCATCAATTATGTATAATTTCATCATCTGTTGTATTCTTATAATCGTGATAGTCATTTTTAATACAAGATCAACGAAATGTTTGAAATTCTTTGTCATTACTAGAGCCCACTTTGAAACAAAAGAATCTCAATGTTAAACGGGCGTCAACCATGCAAAATGCCTCAAATACAACTTTCCACTCCATATGCATATTACACGTTGAAACATTTTGTATGAAATGTTTTCTATTAAATTAAGATAAGAAATAAATCAAAGGAGTGGTGAACAAAACAACAAATTTCTACTTCCTTTTGTTGTTTAACAATCATGGATCCAACTCCCTATGCCTCGTGTCAATACTTCTATTTTTTCGATAGCGAAAGTAGATAAACTGAATTAGAATCTAGTATCACATGCTGCATGTTAAGGATAAACAGTCATATGAAAAATAAAAAACTTTATATATTTTATAAAACTCAAATGATTTATTTTATAAAAGGCACAAAAAAACATAGTTTTCAAGGATACAAAAGTATCAAGCATCACGCATCCACTTGCTTCCACCACCCATGGAAGATTCGGGTGTATTTTTGACCATTCCAGGCTGCTCACAAGTATGCTACACAAATACATAAACATCATACGTTTCAAAATACTTTACAGATTTAACATATATTTATTTAAACAATTCATTAACATTATAATCATACTTTTTCATGATATCACAATCATATATATATACTAACCTTGCTACATAAGTAGAGTTCCCAACAAGTGCAAAGACAAACATCAGTGGATTCAAACCCTACACATTTCAGAGAATAACATAACTGAAACATTAATTTCAATATGCAGATACATGTTTTTATTAAAATTTTGCCCACTCAAAAAAAGAAATAATAAACAAGGAGAAGATGAAAGATATACCTGAACATGTCCCCTTCTTATCTGCAGAAATTAAGGACATCCAAATATAAACATATTAATATGCTTATCTTATTTTATTTTTTAAAATTAAATTTAAGAAAAGGGAGGGGTTTTTACATTTAAGAAAATTTGTGGGAGGCGTCCACCCATGTAAATAGCTGCCATTCCCCAACCAAGGAAGGTACCAATTCCAATACTCTGAGTGCCCCCCTCATTACCTTCCAGTAAACTGCCACTTACCTGCAGTTATAATAATTATTAGGTAAACTAAAATGCAGTAATAAATGTAATAACAAGAAAAAATAAGTATATGTTGTTGATTTAAAGAACCAAATTAGTAATCTTTACCTGTAAAAGCTTTCTTCCCAATTGAATAACAAATCCTTCATGTGGTTTTACAGAAGTAGAATCAAGGTAACTGTTTCTTTCAAGTTTGAGATTCGATGTGTACAAGAAAATTGCCACAGTGAAAACCTGAATCATAAAACACCATATTTATTGCAAAAAATCAGTGACAAGATTATTAAATTTTTCTTTCGAATGAAGAAGTTGCATACAAATACAACAAACGCACCACACATAGCATAGACTTAAGTTGTGAAACAGGTGGCGACTTTCCTAAAAGCAAGGGTTCTTGAACAGAACCCTGATCACATACAGATATAGGTATAGGGGTAGTTGCTCTTTGAAAGAAATTTGTAGGAGTGTGACTTCTAGTTAAAGATCTAGCAGAGCTGCACCAATCACCAAGAAAGATAAATATATAAATAAAAACTACTAGTAAAAAGCATGGAGATATATTATAAAGTAATTGCTTCAATGGAAGAACATTACGTGTAGTATACTCTCTCAGGGGCAGAATCGTAATCACCAGCTGGAATTGGCAAACTTGGGGTGGATTTTGATAGCATAGGAACCGTTGACTCTTCCAGGTTGCATTTTATTTTCTTGTCTGCTGACTCAATCTGTAAAAATGAGGAAACTTTATGGATTAAGAACTGCCTACCATATGAATTTAAAAAAAAAAAGGAAAATTCTTACCTTATGATCTTGTCTTTTGGATGTATTTTGATGACAGAAGTAACCATAGTAAAGTGCCTGGGAGGTAAGAGCTAAGGTAGTCACCAAGTACAACTACATCCCACCCAAAAGTCAATAAACAGTGCAAATTCAATTTATAACAATAGACAAATGAATTAAGACACTTTGTGGGGTTATAAACTGCTTACCACTGCCATATAATACTGTGTTGGAAGCTGCAGGGTAAGAGAATAGAGCCAAACACCATAGTTAACACAATGAAGAAGATAAATAACATATCTTTACACAAAAACAGAAACTCACTGTAGCTGGTTCGAGCAAACAACCAAACACGTTGAAAAGATCTCTGCCAAACAGAAAAAGAAAAGTAAATAAGGGAAAAAGGGAAGAGTAAAGAATGAAGATTTGTGAATTATTTGATCAGATTTACATATCTTTAGTGAAGAAAATATAAGTATATTATTACCCGAGTATCCATGTCAAAAGGAAACACATAGCAAGGCCTTCTGAAGATTTTTGTTTGTAATTTGTGATGATCTGAGGTACCTCTGCAACACCCCAACTCATAACACTAATTAATCCCAATATCAGTGAAATCCAATCCTTCCTTGTGCAAAGACAATATTTCATGTAATTCCTAGCCCATTGTGAGCAATGTTGATCTGCAGGGCACATTGGCATATTACTTTTTAAGAGTTCCATGGCATCCAACAAACTGTAGTACCTATAAAGAACATGACATTAAATTATTATCAGGAGATTCAAGATTGCATCAAGTGATATATGAAATATTCAAACTTATACCGCATGTAAAAGATGTTTCTATTAAGTTTAGAAAAATAAAGGATCAATTCTGTTTAAAAGGTTATTCCTTTGATCATAAAAGTCAAAAAGTACATGTTCCTCAAAGTAGTAAGACTATTCAAGATTGTTAATTTTGTTGAAATAGACTTTTTTTGTTGCTATTTGTTGACCTTGTGGCGAAAAGAATCACAAAAACAACCTCTGTTTTATCAATTTAACACATATGCAAACAAATTGTTTATTCAACTTTTGTGATACATTAATATTTAATTAAATATAGGGAACCAAGAGTTCAATGGCCCAGGGGATCTGTACTATACGAACATCGGATTCAATTGAGGGTAGGGTACCTTGAAAAACTCATAATTATATATGTATATAATGTTTTCATCATTACTCCATATTACTTACGATTACCAGAACATCAAAGCAAATCACGAAACTAATCACTCGATAGGGCAGAAGTAAAACACAATACATCCAACGTAAAATCCCTACAATTTCGCGGCAAAACAGAAAAATTCAAACTGCGACGATAGAAATTTAGTAGCCATAATAAGAACAGTTCGAATTTAGATGATGCTGCATTATCAAGTATAAACAAAACAGAAGCTAGAATCGGATGATGTGAAGCTTAAACCATATGAGCAGAAGAACGCGAAAACAGGATTCAGGTAAACGATAAGAATTGTAAAAACATAGCGTAGGTGATTACTCGATAGTCTTCAATTCATCACTAAATAACTTCTCCGGTTGTTTTTGAGAATTGAAGGAAATCCTGCAAGTGCAAGGGCTAAAAACTAAAAAGCATAATGGTGTGCAATTTACAAGGAGTTGTCAGCTTTCTGCCGCACCTTT